AAATCAAACTGCTTTGCACTAGGAGTGATCCTCTTCCCGTCTGTTCATTTTAATTCCTGGGGCCATACTGGCAAAGGCCTCTCAAAAACTCTTGACCCTGGAGAGCCAGGGGATATTGGCTGTCAGAACTTAGGTCGGCCACATCTTTCTACGCGGTGTTAATTCTCAGCTGGAAAAGGTGAAGGGCAGGAAGAAATGGCTCAATCAGCTCAGAGATCTTAGCAATAAGACTACTGTGTATTAGTGGTGTCAGAGTGAGGTTCGGTCAAGGCTGGGGCTGGTTTAAGATTGATAAGAAGGGTCATTCTGAACCCTTCTGACTTTCATCCCTCCTTTCTTCCCTGGAGCTCAAATTCGGGTCACAGGCATAATAGCAGCCTTATGAGTAGAGGGTATTATTTCACATGCTTATCACTCTGCTGGACGCGTAAGCCATTTTCTGCCTTTCGCTTCTTGACCTCTGCTTCTATTTATACCTACAATACTCATCCTTTCACAGAGAGGGTGATCCAATAGCAATCCTAAGGGCATAATAGTTGCCTTTACGCTTACTGAAATGTCTTTTCTTTCTTTAGCATTAAATTATTTTCCAAAATAGATCTATCCCTCCTTCTTTCTCCTGACTGCCTTTTCTAGAATTTTACTAAGTTATTTTTCTTTCTTTGTTCCTTTTTTTTTTTTTTTGCTGGTAGGTCTTTTTCTTATAAAGTCCTCACATTTGTTCTAATTATAAAATAGCACACATGGTGACATATATTACTTTCTTAGGCTGGATTCCAGAAAGCAGTGACAAGCAAAGAAAGAACTCCATAAGTAAGCTGAATTTAGTCTAGGGGATGGTAAATTGCTTTCACTGCTGCATTTTAAAAAAAGAAATCTAGCATATAGCAAAGGAAGCTTTATTTCTAGCTGAGCAGGCCTCGATGGGCTTTCCTCTCCTACTAAACTATACGCTTCCTTGAAGCAAGTACTATGTTCTAGTCGTCTTTGAAATCTCGCCTCTAGTGCCTTGCGATGAATGTTGAGCTGAATTTAAATTGCAATTTAGTCAGATGAAAAGTAATAGCTAAAAGCATTTCAGAGGAAGTCAAGGAAATAAACTACATCTATGGCACAGCCATGCCTAGTGCCCTTTCTTGTAGCTTACTAGGCAGCTAATTCAAGATTTTTATCTAGTCAAATCTCAGGATATTTTTACTTAAATCAAAACAAAACGCTTTCCCTCAAATAACAAAAGAAATATAAGGGGGTGGGGGTGGGGGTGTCATTCACAATCCCATGACCCTGCAATATATCAAATTAGTAACAACAGTCATACTTTCAACCTTTTTATATGTAGTCCATATGTGTATCAGACACTTAGAACAAACAGCATCCTCTGAGCCCATAGGACAGAATGGTGTGCTATCCATACTGTTCTGGAACCTGCTCTTTTCACTCCGTTTCACGGGGTTTTCATGTCAATTAGCCTTTTCGGTGGATATTTATTACTTCATCATATGGCTGATTGTATTGTAATTTACTTAATTACCTGCCTAGGTTTGTTTCCGTTTTTAAAAAATTATTACAATACTTTGCTATCCTTGCTTTTATTTCTATCACCCGCTCTTATTTCTTAGGGATAAATGACCATAGGTGAAACAGCTGAACAAAAGATACGTAGGTTTTAAACTGTGGACACATATTTCTGAATTGCTCTTCAGAAAGATAATGCATGTGTGTGTTTCCTGTTCATGCCCTTTGCTCATTAAGAAGAGGGGAGGGGAGTGGGAGGATATTCATCTTATTGATTTGTAAAAGGTATTTATATGTTAAGGATATCATACCTTTGTCATCAATCTTGCAGTTTTCCAAATTTGTCTTTCTACTTTTTAAATTTTGCTTTATTTATTTATTTATTTTATTTATGAGAAGAGAGAGACCAAAAAAAATTAAAAAAGGAAGCAGGGAGATGGGAAGAGACAGAGGTAATTTTGATAGGGCCTTTTTTTTTTTTTATCACAGTCTTCCCCCCCCGCCTCCCAATTAGCTTGCATGACAG